GTTGTAATCTCGGTATCTAAAGCCGAAGATCCAAATATTTTATATACAAGATCAAAATATCCTTATAAATATAGGTATTCAGAGATCTTGAATTCTATATCTAGATAATACAAGTCATAAGACCAATTTCAATTACAAACAGATTTCTTTTGAATTATAATTGGTTTTTATTCTCATTAAGCCCTTATGTGACCATGGGAAAGTGTTTATATGATTACAAAGTGTTTAAAACCTTTCTTAATGCATTTTAAGTCTAGTTTATGAGAACTTTCATGCATATGCATCCATGACTATCATCTAAGCTCATTTGAATCATCAATCAGTGATCACACAATTTTAGTAGTAAAAGATTGATTGTTTTAGGCTTTTGAGTCTTGCATTTATGAAGAATTAATGTAAGAAGACCAATTTGCATCTTTTGTTTATCCTCTATTTGTTTCTCTAACGAAGACTTTTTTTTTTTTTTTTTTTATCTTTTTCACTTTTTTATTTAAAAAATTAATAACCGTTTTGAGCTTTTAAGTAAGGGTGGCAAAATGGGTCAGCCCACCCTGACCTGCCGTTAACTCGTCAAAAACGGGTTGGCCTGCCCCGCCCCGTCTCTTGAATGTGGGTTGAAAACCCCAACCCGCCCCGTTTTATGGTGGGTTGGCAGGTTGTTGGGTGAATCTAGGGGTGGCAAAACGGGTCGACCCGCCGTCAACTCGCCGAAAATGGGTTGGCCCGTCCCAACCCGCCGCTTGAATGTAACCCGCCTAAAAAATAAAAAAATGATTAAAAATTAAAAATTAAAAATAAATTATATTTTATTAATTTTATAATATTAATAATTTTTATTTCACACTTCCCTTAATTTTTTTCCAATCTCAAGTCTAAATGTATACAAATATTCAATTAAACATGTTTTAGGAACTTATTTTTGTCTCTATATATAGATAACATTTGTCATAAATAAAGATTTTCTTCTCTATTTTTCTAGGGAGTGCTAAGATAAAAAAAATTGGATATTGCAAAAGTTTAAAAACAAATAAAATACTACCTAGTAGTAAAAAAACAAAATGGCCGACCCGTCGCCAACCCGTTGTGACCCACAACCCGACGGGGCGGGTTAAGGTGGGTTGATGAGTTGGGATATGTAACCCAACCCGTCCCGTTTTGACGGGTTGACCTGTCGGGTTCAACCCATATTGCCACCTCTAGGTGAATCCACCTAAAAAATAAAAAATAAATGATATTTTATTAATTTTGTAATATTACTTATTCTCGCTTCGCACTCCCCTTAACTTTTTTTTTTTATTAAATGTATGCTAATATTCAATCAGACATTATTTGCGAACTTATTTTTGTCTCCATATATAGATTACCTTTGTCATAAATAAAGTTTTTCTTCTTTATTTTTTTAGAGAGTACTAAGATAAAAAAAAATTAAATATTACAAAAGCTTAAAGACAAATAATATACTACCTAATAGTAAAAAAAAAAAACCCGGCGAGCTTACCCACCCTGACCTACCATCAATCCGTTTTGACCCACAACCCAACGAGGCGTGTTGAATGCGTAACCCAACCCGCCACGTTTTGGCGGGTTGACCCGTCAGATTCAATCCATATTTCCACCTCTACTTTTAAGCTATGTATTTATGAAAATTCAATAGCATACGACTATTTTCTTCTCTAATTTAAGGGTAGATTGTTGAAAATTGGAAACCTCATTCATGCAAATCTTTATAGTGTTCTTATCTTTCTATTTTTTATTATAAAAACTAAGTGACCGCTCTAGGATTCTAAGCCCCTTATTTGTGGAAATTTAATGGCAGATGATAATTATATATGAGTTCATTTTTTCTGCAGTCAATGTATTATCTACATTGAGTCCAAAATGACTTTGTTTTGAGACGAAAATCAAAGTATTTTTATAAGAGGGAGGATATTTTTACTACCAAAATTTTTTACTACTAACTTACTACCTATCTAATCACCATTGAATCAAAGAGAGAGAATGCTAAAAAGTTTTTGAAAAAAGAGAAAATGTTGATCCAATGGTGATTAGATAGGTAGTGAGTTGGTAGTAGAAAATTTTATTAGTAAGAATATTCTTCCTCTTTTATAATTATAATTTATTTTAGGGTTATAATAGTCTTTTTTATTATAATTTTTTAATCTTTCAACTCAAAACGATATCATTTTAGGAGTGAACATAGATAACGTATCTACATTCACTATAGAAACATTAAAGCCATTATATATTACTCTCTTTTTTTCTTGAAAGCCTTCTATTAAAAGAGATTTAATGAAAAAAATTAAAAATTCAAAAGCGCAAAATTAAAAATTCAAAAGTGCATTAATGTTATTTTGCTTACTAGTTTATTCATAGTGGCACTATATATTCCTCTTAACACCTCATAAGGTTATACATGGTCAATGATGATTATGCACTACACTTTTTTTTCTTCTAAAAAAGCCTTTTATTTAAATAGATTTAAAGACAAAATATTAAAAGCCAAAAAGTCAAAACCAAATTGATATTATTTTGCATTTACGAGTTTATTCACAGGTCACCTTTCCACCTAGCCCCTTATAAGATAATTGGTGGCTAATGACGATTTTTGTGTCTCCAATGAAGACTTTTTTTTTATCTTTCTTATTTTTTATTTCAAAAATTAATAACTATTTTCGGCTTTGAAGCTTTGTATTTATGAAGATTCAATGGCATAGGATTGTTTTCTCCGCAATTTAATGGTAGACGATTGAAAATAGAAAATTGAACACCTCATTCATGTTAATCTTCATATTCTTCTTATCTTTCTCTTTATTATTTTAAAAACTAAGTGACCGCTCTAAGCTTTGAGCCTTGTATTTATTGAAATTTAATGGCAGATAACGATTATATATTACTCTTTTTTGTCCTTCTTAAAACTTGAAAGCCTTCTATCTATAGAGATTTAATGACAAAAATTAAAAATTGAAAAGTCAAAATCGCACTGATGTTATTTTGCATTATTAGTTTGTTTATAGGGGCAATATTCTACCTTGCCCCTTATAAGGTGATAGGTGGCCAATGTTGATTATGTGTTACTCTTTTTTTCTTGGGAATAGTTCGAAAAAACCCTTATGATTTGCTTTGAATATCTTATATCCCTATGCATTTTTTTAATCACTTATCCCATATGGTTTTTCTATCTACACTCATTCTTAACACTATTAGAAACTTAACTAAATATACCTACTTTTCCCTTCTTAAAAGAGGAAAATAGAATGATAAAAAAAGAAAAAAATAAGACCAAATGTTATGAAAACTTAAAATACTTAATAAAAGACTAAAAGAAAAAATAGAAGAAAAACGGTCAAATGTGTCTAAACAAAAAAAATAGATTAAGGACAAAAAAAGAAAAAAAAAGAATAAATATGTTGAAAAATCACAACAGTGTCATAAAAGATTAAAATTAAAAAAAATGAAAATAGTCTAAATGAAAAAAAATTAGAAGAAAAAAATAAAAGAAAAAATTAACATACAAATAAAATAAAAAATATATAACAAAAAAAAATCACTGTTGTGAGTTTATAATATATTTAGTTTTATTTTTTCTTCTATTTTTTCATTTTTGACCTTGGTCTATTTTATTCTTTTTATTTAAATTTATTTTGTCTTTTTCTATTTTTAATTTTTTTTCGCTTTTGGATTTTTTAATCACGGTTGTAAGAAATAGGAGAAAAATAAGATATAATAAATAAAATAAAAAGAAATTTGTGTTGTAAATTTTTAATATATTTGATCATATTTTTTTTATTTTTTTGCTCAGTCTGTTTTATTCTTTTTTATTTAGGTATATTTGATATTATTTTTTGTATTCGGTCTAGTCTTTTTTTTATTCAAACTATTTTCATTTATTTTAGGTTTAGTTTTTTCTGTCACTATTGTGATTTTTTTAACATATTTGGTTTTATTTTATTTTTTGTCCTTAATCTATTTTCTTTTTTTAATTAAACACATTTTATATAGGCAAAAAAATTAAAATAATGTAATTAATTAAAATAATTACGCATTTAATGCTATTTTGTTAAAAATTACACATCTGTTGCACAAGAAGACGCCCCACTGGGGCGTCACATGTGACGCCCAAAGAGGGCGTCTCATGTGCAACCTATATATACCCCACTTTTCTTTTTTCACTCCTTACTCATTTACCTCTCTTACCTTTCTCCAACCTCTCTCTAACCGCGGTTCGTAGTGAAGCTCTGCCAACGTAGGTAAGGTCATAATACCTCATATGTATACATTTAAATTACAGTGCTAGTTAGTAATACATGTTAGGATTGATTGTATATTAGAGACTTGGAACATTAGGATAGTCACTTAGAAATTTTGTGTCATGCTATGAATGTTGTAATGATATAGTAATATTATTATTACGTAGTTATTATTACTACTGATTTTTAATTATGTATTAGGGTTTAGCATATTAATTAGTGATTTATAAATAGTGTTAGAGACTTTGTAAATTTCGTATGTATGATGTTATTAATGCGGGAGTGCATAACTTTGTAGTTAGTTGAGGATAATGGCTGAGTCATCATCTTCTTCGGGATCTGATTTGGATGTAGAGCCCACCGATCCCAGCATGTGGATCATACCTGGACCCTACAGGTGGGAGGTCCTTCGTCAGAGGACGTAGAAATGTCATATTTCACATCGAGTGTGGAATACTGAGCATGTAAGAAAGATTAAGACGAGGCGTGGGAAGCCACAAGGGGGCCCACCTACCGGTGCTATTCCACAGGTTGTGGAAGAGTACCTCAGACAGGCGGGTTTCATACATGTTGCCAGGATGCAACATATCCAGGTATGTTATTTATGTCGTTTTGTATTTATGTAATTAAATAATAAAATTCGTTAACACGTGATAACTGCGTAATTTATCACAGATAGATACATTTTTAATTAGTGCTTTGGTCGAGAGGTGGAGACCAGAGACACATACCTTTCACATGACCCAAGGTGAGATGACGATCACCTTACAAGATGTGGCAGGCATCTTGGGCTTGCCGACCGACGGTACTGTCGTCATCGGATCGACCTCTGAGGATTGGCACGCTGCTTGTGCTGCTGTTTTTGGACATGTTCCAGAGGCCGGTGAGTTCCATCATTCTGGCGACCTCTGCATCTCATTCTTGGATCGACATTATACCCGGTGGACTGGTCATGAAGGGAATCATGCTGCCGAGATCTACTTCACAAAAGCCCACATTGCCCGGATGTTGGGGACTTGGTTGCTGGCGGACAAGTCTGGAGGTAGCAATTTTGGTTGCCGTCTTGTCCCGTTGCTAGGTGGAGGATTTGAGGACATTGGCCGATTCAGCTGGGGATCTGCAGTTTTGACACACTTGTTCAGGAATTTGTGTGAAGTGACAGATGCCCGTCGAAGCGACATGGGTGGTTGCCATATTCTCCTTCAAATTTGGGCATGAATACGATTCCCACCCATTGCTCCACCCCTTCCTCCTCATCCAGAGCCGGGCACACATTATGGATGCCGGTATGATTTATTTACTTCATTTGATTTCGATAATGTATGGTTAATACTGTATGTACTAACTGTATACTTCTTGACTTTGGACGATTATGTATGGTTGATAATGTTTTTGATTGACAGGTTTAATGCTGTACAAAAGTTTAAACCTCATGAGGTCACCCATTGTCGGGCAACATTGGACACACTCTGTAGAGATGAGGTTTGGTGTTAGATACTTACGGTGTTGTTATTTGTCTATGGGTTTATTTATTTTTGTAACTCTATATATTGTTTCACATTTTGTTTGTAGGTGGTGTGGCAGCCGTATATAGAATATGAGTGGCTTGATGTGACTCCAGAGCAGCAGTATCTGTGGCTAGCTCCCACACCTATTATCTACTTCCACACAGTTGAGGCATGTCAACCGGATAGGTGCATGCGACAGTTTGGTCTTAATCAACCTATCCCGGAAAAATCTAGAAAATTGAGAGGAATACATGATCATACTCTACGGGGGAAGGTTGAAGAGAACTGGAGACGTAAGCAAAGAGATTGACACCTATTATCCTTTCTTGCCATTTGGACATCTTTTTTTGTCGCAAATTCTTGATTGACAAATAACATGTCACCCAGTTGCCACAGACCTTGTATTGAAGCCGATCCTGACACCGAACCATCAGTACATGATTCTTGTTCGCTCTGATAACTCCAATCAATGTAAGAATAATGCAGAATTCCTTCCCAAAAAGGAATAACATCTGTGTCACCTGCAATTGCGGATTATAATTTTTTAATACGAACTTACTACTAATTCAGGTATTAAATCAGTTATTTATTCACGCAATATACAAATGGGAACAATTACCTTCTTGTGGAATACCAAACGGAGCAGACGCAACGTCATTCAACTGCGGCATTTGCGCGACGACTGGTTGATTGAATATTGGAATTTCAGACGCACCCATCTCACGAGATTCATCTCCTTCTGAAGCACTAGCATCCTCCGCCAGAAGATGTTCTTCCATTGCCATATTTTCATCGTCATCTTCGTCGTGCATTTCCCAAGTCGGATCATTTTCATCTCCCTCAGAAAAGATACCAACTGGAGACGCATGAGCGGCAGGAGAAGCTGGAAGACGGGGAGAATTTAAATAAACTGACCTCACCGGTATGGGAGCATTCTCCGTTGCAACGATGTCGACATACAACTCTAGAAAATCTATCCTTGACTGGTTGCAAAATTCTTCCATTGTCATCTCCAAGTCTTCATCGTCAAGCACTTTCAAACTAATGTATTTATCACCTTGCCACACCCTTGTCGTGATCTCAGTGATACATTGGTTGTCTTGAAGACTTAACTTCTGCCGAATTCTCTGATGCAATTCGCCAATGGTTGTGTTGCGTTGGATACGTGTCGGCCTTTTTTCACCTTCGAATATGACACCTCGTCGACCTTCTACCTTCCTACCATTGTAATATAACACAACACGAACAGAATCAGGATCTGAGCTCATTTTTAAATAGAATTACAACTAAAATTCAAATACTAAATTAAAGATAAAGGAATGTTGGTGGAGAAGAGAGATATGAAGAGTGAGAGAAGAGGTGTGAATTGAATGGAGGGGGTGAGGAAATATATAGAGCACACATGTGACGCTAGTTTTGGGCGTCACATTGACGCCCCATTGGGGCGTCTCTCCCATGGATAAGACGCCCCAATGGGGCGTCACATGTGATGCCCAAAACTGGCGTCACATTGTGCAGTAGATGTGTAATTTTTTACGAAACAACATTAAATGCGTAATTATTTAATTTAAATACAATATTTTAATTTTTTTGCCATTTTATATATTTTTCTTTTAGCCTTTTATGTAAATATTCTAAGTTTTCATAATATTTGGTCTTATTTTTCTTTTTTTATCACTTAAGTTTCTAGTAGTGTTAAGGAGGGGTGTGACTGGAAAAATCATAGAGGGTAAGTGATTAAAAAAACATAGAGGTGTAAGTGATTCAAAGCAATACTATAGGAAATTTTTTGAATTTTTCCCATTTTTCTTCTAGAAAGCATTATATTTAAAGAGATTTAGCGACAACAAATTAAAACAAAAAGTCAACCATATTGATGTTATTTTGCATTCATGAGTTTATTCAAAGTGGCACTATTCCACCTAGCCCCATATAAAGTGATAGGTGGCTAATGACGATTATTTATTACTCTCTTTTTCTTCTAGAAAGCCTTCTATTTGAAGAGATTTAATGACAAAATTAAAAACCAAGAAGCCAAAACCACATTGATATTATTTTGCACTTACGAGTTTATTCACAGGGGCACTATTCCACCTAGTCCCTTATAAGGTGATAAGTGGCTGATGATGATTATATATTACTTTTTCTTCTTCTAGAAAAGCTTCTATTTAGAACCAGTTTAGCACATCTTTTTTCAAGCTAAAAACTACTTTTATGTTAAAGTTAAAAAAAGAGCTTAAAAATAAAGGTAAAAGTTATTTGATAATAGTATAAAGTTGTTCTTGGGTTTTAAAGGGAAGGAGATTAAATGATTTGTCATTAGGTTAAATTATTAAGATAAAAGATAAAATTTATAAATAAAAGTTTAGAAAAGGGTATCATTGAAAAATAAATGAGAGAACTCCAAAAATTTGAAATACATATTACAAAAAGCTCCTCCAGGGAGCTTTTAGCTTTTAACTTGTTTTTCATTATAAAAAATGCTCTTTTATGATAAGAGATTTTATAAAATTATATTTGACTAAGATTTTTTTTATAAGAAGAAGATAAGATAAAAATAAGAGCTCCCAAGTAGGCACATAAAGAGATTTAATGACAAAAAGTTAAAAACTGAAAAGTCAAAATCACATTGATGTTATTTTGCATTTACGAGTTTATTCACAAGGGCACTATTCCACCTAGTCCATTTTAAGATTATAGGTGGCTAATAGAGGTGGCAAAATAGGTCGCCCCGACCCGACCCACCTCACCATTAACTTGCCAAAAATGGGTGTCCTCCATCTTGATATAGATTGAAAATCCCAACCCACCCCGTTTTATGGTGGGTTGGCAGGTCAATCCGCCTAAAAACTTAAAAATAATTAAAAATTAAAAATAAATTATATTTTATTAATTTTATGATATTTCTTATTTTCATTTCTCAATTTTCTTAGTTTTTTTCTAATCTCAAGCCTAAATGTATACTAATATTCAGTTAGATATTTTTTAGGAAATTATTTTTGCCTCCATATATGGATAAACTTTGTCATAAATAAAGTTTTTCTTCTTTATTTTTTCTAGGGGAGTACTTGGATAAAAAAATACTACCTATTAGTAAAAACATAAAAACTGACCCGCGGGCCAACCCGCCCCGACCCACCGCCAACCCATTTGGACCCACAACTGAGCGGGGTGGGTTGAGGTGGGTTTGTGGGTTGAAATGTATAACCTAACCCGTCCCGTTTTGGAGGGTTGGCGGGTTGACACATCGGGTTCATCCCATATTGTCGCCCCTAGTGGCTAATGACTATTTTTGTTTCTCTACGGTAGACCTTTTTTTTTTTTTTACTTTCTCACCTTTTTATTTAAAAAATTAATAATCATTTCTGGCTTTTAAGCTATGTATTTATGGAGATTCATTGGCATAGGATTGTTTTCTCCATAATCTAATGGAAGACCGTTGAAAATTGAAAATTGAAAATTGAAGACTTCATTCATGTAAATCTGCTTCATGTTCTTCTTATCTTTATCTTTTTTTATTTTGAAAATTAAGTGATGGCTCTAGGATTCTAAGCCTTGTATTTATGGATATTTAATGGCCAATGACGATTATATATTACTCCTTTTTTTTATAGAAAACATTATATCTAAAGAGATTTAATGACAAGAATAAAAAAATTAAAAGCCAAAACTGCATTTATGTTATTTTGCATTACTAGTTTATTTAAGGGCATTATTCTGCCTAACACTTTATAATGTGATATATGGCTGACGATGAATATGTATTACTCTTTTTTACTTCTAGAAAGCTTCTTTATTTAAAGAGATTCAATGAAAAAAGTTAAAAATTAAAAAGTCAAAATCACATTGATGTCATTTTGCCTTTACGAGTTTATTCACGGGAACTTTTCCGCCTAGCCCCTTATAAGGTGATAGGTGGCTAATGACCATCTTTGTTTCTCTAAGGAAGACTCTTTTTTTTTTCTTTTTTTTTTTATATCTTTCTCAGTTTTTTATTTAAAAATTAATAACCGTTCCGGCTTTTAAGCCATGTATTTATGGAGATTCAATGGCATAGGATTGTTTTCTTCAATTTAATGGTAGATCGTTAAAAAATGAAAATTGAAAACCTTATTCTTGTAAATCTTCATATTCTTCTTATCTTTCTCTTTTTTTATTTTTTTGGTAAACAAAAAATTACGTGGTTAACAAAAATAAAAAATAAAAAATAAAAAAAATAAAAAAGAAAAAAGAAAAAATAAAAATAAAAATAAAAAAATAAAAAAAATTCCTTTTTTTTATTTTAACAATTAAGCTCTAAGCTTTGAGCCTTGTATTTATGGAAATTAATGGCCGATGACGATTATATATATATTTGCTTGAAAGCCTATTATTTAAAGAGATTTAATGAAGACAATTAATAATTGAAAAGTCAAAACTATAACACCTCGCATTTCTAAGTTTAAATATTAATACATTAAATGAGAATTAAGAGGAAGGATTAGGGAAAATCCTGAAAATTAGGCCAAAATACAAGGAAAGGACAAAATAGTAAATTAGCCATGCACACAATCCTAGGAAGGAAATTGAGTATAAGGTCTCAGATGATAAAAATAACCCTGGAAATGGATTCAGAACGAAAAATTGAGTGGTTAGGCAAGTTTAAGAAAAAGCAGTGAATAGTGTTTTTACCGGGTAAAAATATCGCGGTACGATTGCATCGTAAAACGCGTCGATTGAGTTTTGAGCTCTAGGTTTTAAATATGAGTTATAAATGGTCTATAGAACTAGAAAATATGATTTCTGATAAATTTTGATGGAAATATGATTGTGTGTATGCTTAGAAAATGCATGTAAATGGACTTTGATGATTGAAACATATTAAGTATTAATCAAGTGAGCAATATGATATGAATTGTATAATAACTATAAACTGAGTTGGGTTGTAAGTGCCCCAAGGCATTGTTGGTCCTTGTATGTGTCACCCATTGATTATTAGGTACATTAGAGGTCTTAGAACACATTTTCAATTTGGGGATTTTGGAAAAACAAAGGAAACTCTGGCGAATTTCTGTAGAATTGGCAGAATTTAGGCAAACTTCGGGAGAGCATATCTCCCTCCACAGAGGTCCGATAGGGACGTTCCATACGCCATTTTTAAGCTTAAGATGTCCTCTATCTTGCGGTAAAATTGGATAGAATTCTGGGTTAAATGTCGGCCTGGAGAATGCAAAGAGTGAAGACTGCCGCACTTGTGGCAGTTCTGGACCGGTTTTGGGAAATTTATTCCCGCTTCGTTTCTTAGTCAAATTAAGTGTATGATGTGTAAAA